GCGGGTATGGACAGAGCAGTGCAATTACATTTCCCTCCGAGCTGTCAATTTGACTGTCAGACATTCGGTACCACACGGAATTTGAGTTACAGATCCCAAATGTACCTTTCATCACCTTTGGGGGTTTTTTTGGAAATGTTTTTCTGTCATTCAGTAACCTTGATATTAAATGGCTTAACTTTTCAAAATGCATTTATTTCTGGGAGTAACTGTCATGGTACTTTGGGTTTAACTATTAAGGCTTGACTTGTAACAAGGTGAATTACTGTTTAAGTACAGTCGTGGTACTGTTTCCTATAGGAAAGGTCTCTCCATGTAAAAGCAACATTCAAGCAAAGAAAATGCCCCTTTCAAAATAGTAAAACCTGTCTGAACTTATTTTTGGTTTTGTTAAGAAAACTGTGTGAGATATACTGGGCACACCACCATCACCACCCCCCCGAGGAGGTGGGATCTGTCACCCAGGCAATCTAACAAACTTTACGGGTACATTACCGATTCGTGCAGCTGCTGCCGGGGGGGCTGCTTCCCTCAGAGCTCTGAGAAAGTCGGTGGGTCTTGTGGGCGACAGAAGGAGACAAAAACCTGATTGCCGTCGTGTACCACACTTAGATCAGTGTCGTTCCTCTGAGGGAGAGAGAACTGTTTCTAGTTTAGTCCGTCAGTTTGTAAATAAGAAGACCTGTACGCTGAATGGTGGGATACTATATGGTCTGTTGAAATGACAAACGGGAAATCCCATAGCTAATCAGTGTAGGGGTTTATAAATCAACCCAGTACCCGTGACCATTATCAGTTGACTTCAGAGAATGTCAAAGGAAAATATGTACAGGAAATTTGGGATTTTCTTACTTGCTGTGAAGTTTTTTTGCTTGGTTGGGGTTTTTTGCGTTTTAAAGTATTACCCCTTAGTGAGTGCCTGGCTCTCTGAAACCCGGGAGCTTTTGCTTCTGAATTCTTGACCCACTCTTCCATAACCCCTAACTTACCGGCAGTCTGAGACCAGTGTGCTCATGCAAACATCTGCTCCTTTTCGATCCTACCTGATCCCAGTAATACCACCTTTTAATGAATTCCACAAGCAAGGTGCATGATAGGTGTAAAAACAGCGTTCTTTTGTCAGTGTTACGTTACTGCCGTTCAATTTAATGTTGCCCGCTTGAGCATGAGGCAGGATAAACAGGCATGTTTAGTTTTATTTCTTTTCATTTGGCAGTAGTGTCTTTCCATCCGTGCCTACAGTTGCTTGGCACATCTGTACTTTCTGTTAGAGATAAACTGTAGACAGCCTATCTAGAAATGAAAACAAGATTGTATATTAGAATATACACACCAGCATTAAAGGTCTGTTTTCCAGGATGTTTCTTTCTATATCATCTTTACGTTTTCTTTGCTTAAAAACATAAAACTGAGAAACCTGTCACCCCGCACCCACCCACCAGGGAATGCCTGCCAGTGAGCCAGCCAGCAGGGATGCATTTTCAGGAATTAATACTCTTATTGCTAGATTCTGCTTTGCATTTTTATAATCAAAGTCATTTCTCTCAGCATACATTACTTTTGCATTTGTAACGGTGAATTCCCCATACCACTGTATGCCATCTCTGGAAAGTTTCGGAGTTTATAACTCCTAAACACCCTGCAGTTTGTCACTGATGAGCTCTTAGTGTGACTGCAGAAGCACCAAACCACAAGACAGCCTTCTGCAGGCTGGGCAACTTATTAAAAAAAACGAACTGCAAGCTATAACCTCGATAAAGGCGCTAGTATTACATTTTCATGCTGCAGGCTGAAGTTAAATTTAAAAAGACATTCCTGTGCAAAATGCTGTCATAAAGGGACAGTGGCTTTCATTACCAGCTCGGTTCTTTGGGGAATTACAACCTCAACAATTTTAATTTGCACCAGACAGAAAGTTGCTCTGCTAGTCATTAGCCCAGATGTTAATTTCCATCTAAATATTGCTCTGATTATGTAAAGAAATTTGTCATTTCGGGGACTCTTGAGTTACTGGAATCAACAAAGTGTGTGATTTTTAAACCTGTATTTTACAGGTTTTTCTTTATGCTTTGAGACTGTGATGACGAGTTTTTAATCTCTTTGAGCTCAGGTGCCTTTGGTTTTGTGCAGAAGAAACTAGAGGCTGTTAAAATCACAGCTGTCCCACTGATGTCCAGGCACAGCTCTGAAGCTCCCTGCAGACAGACGTTCA